ACTGCACTAAACCCATTACGCTCTTTGTCAAATTCGGGGTTTACCCACCCCAAGATAATATCAGTTGGATTTTCCCTGACAAAAACCAATTCGGATTCAGTTGGGAACACAAGTGACAGATTATTTTGCCATCACTACTTGTGGTATGTTTTATTAGGTTTTTGGTCTGCTTTACCAAACTTATGGTATGCTTTATGAGGCTTTTTGTAAGCTTCAACCAACTTGTGGTTTGTTTTAAGAAACTTGTGGTATGCTTTAATAAACTTGTTGTATGCTTTAATAAACTTGTGATAAGCCTTGTAAGGTTTATGGTTTGATTCAGGGAACTTATGATATGGTTTAAGAAACTCATAGTATGTTTTATAAGCTTTTTGGTATGATTTCTGGTATTTGTGGTGTGATTTATGAATTTTATGGTAATGTGAGGTTCTGGCATTATTTATAAACTTTCTAGTATGCTTTTAGGAGTATTCTGGTATGCTTTATGAACTTTTTGTCGTGGTAAGATTCTAGTATGCTTTATAAGTTTAGTGATATGCTTTCTTGTATTTGTGGTGTATGTGGTATGTTGGGTTTTGTGCTATGCTTCATGATACTTATGGTGAGGCAAAATTAATGTCCATGACCACAAATGTGTGCCCCCAGTTTTTCATAGTGACAAACGTGTCACTCTCCTTATAAATATGAATTAATTTTGGTCAACCCATTGGAATAAAAAAATTATCAAAATGAAATGTTCATATTTGCTTAATCTAGTGTTAGTATCATGCTAACAATTTTAATGTTAGCACTCTAACCTCTTATGTGATTAAGTGTAGATAGAAAATCAATATTTATATTTTAAAATATCATAAAATTTAATTAATATAAGGTGGCAAATCAAGGGGATTAGTTATCGAAAATGCATGTATTCAAATAAAATATTTTTCACAGAAATGTCAGATTACTTCTACTCTTCAATATGACATCCACTATGGTATATTTTTTTAAAAAAATTGATAAATATATTACTAGTTTATATTATTGTGGTAATATTTGATAGTATTTAAGATTATCATGGCGATATGAAAGTGTATTATAGTTATATGAATATATCATAGTGTCGAATAATTGCATACATGATAATAGGAATATAGTAATTATTATTTATCACATTTAATCATTGTTTACCACCACTTACCACCCTATACCTACCAGGGTGGTACATGTTACATATTGGTCCTAAAAATTTCTCCCATAAATTTATAGATAACAATATATTACAATGAACTCGTTCCTTATGTGCAAAAATGTCCAAATTAAAACAAAAAAGACATAAACCGAATAAAAAATGTCTAAAAAATAAAAATGTATTTTAATCTCAACCTTCATATATGACTACACACAAAACTAAGAGGTCATATTTAGTTATGCATTTGTACATAATCAAGAGTTATACACCCTATCTTGTCCAAACCCGTTTGATTCAGCCAATTAGAAGTCAATATTCAATATTAAGCCATTGTTAATTTGAACTTTACCGTATAAGTAAGAGTGTGTAAAGAGACATATTAAAGTAGTGAAATGATTAATTTGTTCTACAATTCATTAGCTTTTCTAAGCTATCTATCAGATGACAGAAATCCAACTTGTGTCATTTGATGAAAAATTGATCACGTGACTATCTAATGCATTATAAACCATCCAGTCTCCCTGAAAAATACACTCTCAGACCTCAGTCTCTCACAATACATAACCACGCCGAGAGAAGTAGTACTCTTGAAATCTATTGAGGGTGTAAAGAAGAGAAAGGGAGAAAGAAAGAGCCATATATGAAGTGGGGATAAGATGAAATAGAAGAAAGAACAAGTGGGTAGAGAGTGGTGTAGGGGAAATCCATATATTCCTAAAGTAGCCAAGCAAAACTGTAAAATGAGGCCAATAATGGAGGGATAAGATTGTAAGAGATAATATCATCCAAACAAAATATTAGGGTAAATTGCAAGACTGGTCATTGAGATTATTGAAAAAGTTCACGTTTGGTCACTGAAAATATTTAATTTCATTTATGATCATTAGGATTAGTTAAACCTTACAAGAATGGTCACTGAAATTAGTTAAACATTCCAGGTTTGGTCACTCTCTGTTAGTCTCTGTCAACCTCCGTTAACACCCTCAGTTTCTTGCTGACATGGCTAACAGAAATGCTTAGTCACCCAATTTTTCCCCGAAAAACAAAACAACCCGACCCGCCACGTCAGTTTTTCCAACCCAACCCAACCCGTGACCGACTCTATACCCACCTTGCTTGGCTTGTTCTTTCTCGGCAAAACCCAGAAATCCCCAAACGATTCCATACACTTTGTCGCCGCCTCTGTTGTTTCTGATTCTTTCATTTCTTCACTCTTTGAGATAATCATAGGGTTTGATTGATGGCGAATACTGAGAGTAGTGGTGTTACTAAGGAGGATCGGGAGGTGGAGATCTTCTCAAGCCCCGACCAACGTGGCGACGGTGACGCCAAGTTGAAGCAGAAGTTTGAAGTGTTGGAGCTTCAAATCTGGTTGCTGCTTCTGGAGAACAATAACCCAGATCTGCCATCCTCCGCAGTCGCCGGTTCCTCCAACTCCCGTCAATCTCGGTCTCCAATTGACTGAATCTCATATTGCCTCTCTTATTGATTGAAGCCCAGATTGCCTTTCGATTCAGTCGGGAAGGAACGTCGGGGTGAGGGGAATGGCCCGCGAGGTCGACATCGTGGGAGATGTTGAAGGAGAGGAGAGAGGAGTGGTTGAGTGAGTCGTTAAAGCGATTCCACTCGAGGCAAAGGGAGTTCAAGCGGTCGAGAGAGGCGAGTGAGGGTGTTGGCGAGGATTGGGCCGGTGAGGAGGTTTTCTACAAGCCGAGGACCCGGAGCCGGTAGAGTCGGGTGAGGATGTTGGCGGGGAAGATGCCATCGAGGAGTAGGTTATGGAGGACGAGGTGGGTGACCTTGTTTTGGAGGACTGCACGCCTTGCCAGTGGAGGCAGAGCTGGGGGCAAGCTTTGTGAGAGTAATGGAGGGTGGATTGTAACTATGATTTTGACTTCAACGCGAGGATAGATTCGGCGTCGGAAGGAGTCGGAGAGGGAGAAGGTGAAGCTCATAGAAGAAGGGTGGAGATGGCGAATAGAAGGAGGAGGAGGTGGCTGTCCGCCGCCCTCTTCCAGCTTCCAATTTTTTTCAACCCTAAAAAAAATCAATGAAAAAAATATTCTTTGGCTAGATTGGTGATTTATTTTAGAGAATGGGCGGGTCATAGGGTTGGTTAGGGTTCTGGGTTGGGTTGTAATTTATGATGTGGCGGGTCGGGCTATATTTTTTTTTGGATAAAAATGGGCTGATTAGCCACTTCTGTTAGCCACATCAGCAAAAAACTAACACCGTTAACGGAGACTAACGGAAGATAACGGAGAGTGACCAAACTTGAAACATTTAACTAATTGTAGTGATCAAGAATGGAATTAAATATTTTCAGTGACCAAACATAAACTTTTTTAGTAATCACAGTGACCAACCTTGCAATTTACCCCAAAATATTAATATTCACCAAAAACAAATTATAGAAATAGAAGGGAAGGGCTAAGGAGTAAAGTGCTTTCAAGGCCAACAAAGAACAGAGTCCAAAAAAGAGAGTGACAAATAGATACTCTACAGCTCAACAGAATCCTGCTTGAAAAGGAAAGGTAATTAAAACCATCCCCATTTCAGTCCATTTCCCTTTCAATCCAAAAACAATTTAATCTATTAAAAAAAAACAATTCAACATTTATCTCCCCTAAAACAGCAAATAACCAAATAGAAAGATGCAAAAAATATATCCACATGGGAAATCACAATTTCATGTTGATCAAAGGAACACCTCAATCCCCATCAGAATTAAACCCTTTCTAGGATTTATTAGGATTGAGAAAGCCAAGGAATGAGTTGATAAATATGCTTATTTAACCATTTATATGTTTCTTTCCATCAACAAAAGTTGCCTTGTGGTTCCAATTTACATTCTATATATATTCTTCTATCATTTTGTGGCGATGACTCTTTCTTTCTTAAATTTCTAATATCACCACACAAATTCTATGAACATGGCTTAGTTCAAGGAGTGTGTTGATTCATTGCAAAAGTTGGGAAGTTGATTAACATAATCGTAATAATTTGTTTTTAAAAATAATAATAAAAACAATTATGCATATTTTATCCATATTTAGTTTGTAAAAATAAGAAAATGAAAGAACGGATAAAATTTAACAGTGGATGATCATATCAAAATCAAAAGTGTACACTAGTAAAACGTTTAGATTACTGGTTATCCGGTATACAATTTTTTTTTATAGAAAGTAAATGTTTCTTTTACTTTTTGTAGGCTTTGCTCTGGTATTATTCCTAATAACTTGATTAACGATCATGTAATTGGTGTTTATTCGTTTGAAGAGTTATTTTTCTCGATCATGAAATGTAGGGACACAACCCAATGGTTGGGTTGGGTGGGGGGACCTTATACTATGTGAGCACCATCCACGATTTCAAAAAAAGTATGATTGAATCGCGACAAAGTCGTCGCAGTAGTTTATTTTTCGGTGAACAAAATTACTTTATACGACCAATAAATACACATTGTGGTTCATAGTCACCATACAAAAGTGAAAGTAAAACGATGATTTAAGAATAAATCATGAAACACCAAAGAGAGAGAAAAAAAACCGTGATTGAACCTTAGTAAAATCAATAGCTCAAGACTAAATCAGCAAAATCATTAAAAAAAAGCAAAGTAAAACATGATAAAATCATGAAAAATTCTTACATATTTAATTCATAGAATGAAACTAGATCATTATGACTCAATTTGTACGGTACAATTTCACAAGACACTCAAACCTCTGCTATTTATTAGTGGTGCTAATAAAAGCTTACTTATATAGCAGAAGAAGAATCTTGTCCCTCCTCAAAACTCTCTTCGTCTATCTCAAAAGCCACCAGCCAGCCAACAAACTCACTCTCTCTCTCTCTCTCTCTCTCTCTCTCTTCCTCTTCTCTCTCTCACAGAATCCAAAGGTTAAAACCAACAACAGAACAATCTCACTTCACCACCCCAAAAAAAAAAAAAAAAACTTTCAATCTTTATTTCTTACTAAATCCCACTCTCTGCAAAAAGATCTCCGTTTGCTCAATCCCCATTTCCCTACACGTCATTTCTCTGTCTTTCTCCCTCTCCCCCCAAAAAATGGATGTCTGGTCTCCTTCTGTCGCCATGGATGACGAGTTTGAGAAGCTCCTCATTCGTATGAACCCTCCAAGGTCCAATCTTTCCACCTTCCTTCCACCTCTTTGGTTCAATTCTTGAATTGGGTTCTTTCCCAAATCCTCAATCTTCGATTCATAATTTTCCCTTTTCTCATTTGCCGTTTCCTAATTTTTGCAGGGTCACCGTTGATAATGCCTCCAGCCGGAAAGCCACCTTGATAAAGGTTTATTTGCAATTGAGTCCCTCCCTCCCTTCCTTTCTTCCAGTTCCCTTTTTCTGTTCACTCTTTTGACGATGTTTGTTTTATTTGTTGAATTCTAGGTTGACAGCGCAAACAAACATGGGAGTTTGTTGGAGGTGGTGCAGGTTCTCACTGATCTCGATCTCATCACTCGCCGTGCTTACATTTCTTCCGACGGCGAATGGTTCATGGATGGTTAGCTTAATTCATAATTTCCTCCTCAAAACATTTCTCAATTCTGTTAATAAATAATTTCTTTGAGACTAACTTTTTTTTTTTTTTAATCTGGGCAGTGTTTCATGTTACGGATCAGAATGGGAATAAGCTATCCGAGGATGATGTTGCTGACAGAATTCAACAGGTAAAATCAATGGATGTACCACCACCTTAATATTTTGTTGTGTGGCCCTTTCTTTCTCGAATCAACATGGGAAATGAGATACATGTTTGAAAGTGGAACATACAAGTCTTGTATAAACTAAAGATGCTTCCTTTATACTGTTTTAACACCAATAATGTTGTTTGCTTGTTTGTGTTGCTTTGGTTTCAACAGTCATTGGGACCGAGATCACGAGGTAGCTTTCGGTCCCTAAGACGATCAGTAGGCCTAGTCCAGTCAGCAGACGAGAACACGACGATTGAATTAACAGGAAGGGACCGACCCGGTTTGCTATCCGAGGTGTTTGCAGTGCTAGCAGACCTCAAGTGCAATGTAGCAGCAGCAGAGGTCTGGACACACAATTCCAGGATGGCTTCGGTAGTTTACATCACCGACGAGGCTACTGGGGCACCCATTGACGATCCAGATAGGCTGGGGAAGATCAAGCAGCTGCTGTTGTATGTGCTGAAGGGGGATAGAGATAGGAGGAGTGCTAATACCGCGGTTTCTGTTGGGTCTACTCATAAGGATAGGAGGCTGCATCAGATGATGTATGCTGATAGGGATTATGATGTGGAGGAGGATGTGGAGGAGGAAAATGGGAATAGGCCACTTGTCACTGTGGAGAATTGTTTGGAGAAGGGGTACACGGTTGTGAATTTGAGGTGTGGGGATAGGCCTAAGTTGCTGTTTGATACGGTTTGCACGTTGACTGATATGCAGTATGTTGTGTATCATGCCACCATCATTGCTGAAGGGCCAGAGGCTTATCAGGTTTGTTGTTTCTCTATTGCATGTGGATAATTAGCAGTAGTAAAAGGGTTTTGTATGACTCACATGCTAGCAAAATATTCTGTTTCGACCTCTCGTCTATTGATTCTATGATATGGTGTATGAGTGGGTCTTGAGCATTAAAGCACTGACTAAGTTTCTCATTACTTTCATGTGAAATGTTTAGCTAAAATTTTTGATTCTATTTTGTAGGAATACTACATCAGGCACATAGATGGATCCCCAATTAGCTCAGAAGCAGAAAGGCAAAGGGTGATCAATTGCTTGGAAGCTGCAATCAAGAGAAGAACATCTGAGGTCTCATTCTTTAACCATGGTAGCTTCCCATGTTCTAGTTTTTCCATGTCCTTCATGTTTTGATTAAAGGAATGAACTTCTCTGTGGCAGGGGATAAGATTGGAACTCTGTTGTGAAGACAGAGTTGGCCTTTTATCGGATGTGACTAGGATCTTCAGAGAAAATGGCCTCGCGGTGAGTCGAGCTGAGGTAACTACCAGAGGAGACCAAGCAGTGAATGCTTTCTATGTGACTGATGCGTCAGGGCACCCTTCAGTGAAGACTGAGACCATTGAAGCAGTGAGGAAAGAGATCGGTCTGGCAGTTCTTCGAGTGAAGGAGGAGGCTTACTCAAGCTCTCCACCTGCTCAAGAACATGGCAAGTTCTCCCTCGGTAACCTCTTTCGAACGAGATCAGAGAAGTTCCTATATAACTTGGGCTTGATCAAGTCTTGTACTTGAGTCTTGAGTAGTTTAAGTGGGTTTTTACCTTTTTTAGGGTGCTGTAAATGGCTCTATGGTGAGATTCTGGGAAGTGTAGGTGCAGTTACTAGATGTTCTCTAGGTCTTGTTTCTTCTCTTTTTGGGGTCAATTGGTAGTTAATCTTGGTTCATAAGCCTCAAGAAATCACCTCTGTAAAGCTGGTTTTTCTTTCTGTTCTTTTGTAAATAGCTTTTCTTTTGCTTTAGCCTACTTGGGTCCTAATGGGTCAACTGTAAATTGGACACAATCATTGTTTCAACTAGAGCAGAATGTTCATTAGTTCAACCTGTTGTGTTTTTCCCTACTCCTGGGAGATTGGGTGGAAATGTCCTGTGGCTAATAATGAAGTGCTTTAAAAACATAACTACTGAACTTTCGGCTCACTAACAATCCAGTCAATTATTGCTTCAGCCTAAAATTTGGAATAATCTTATCTAATATTTATTCATACGAGTTAACTTTTATCAATCTCGATGATTTGATGCACTAATCCAAATATTTCAGGATAAAAAATCTAGGCGATGATACACAAAGTGATTGTTTCTGTTACTTATTACACACTGTAGTGCCAAGTTGGTCAAAAAATGAAAGTTGTTTAAAAATAAAAGAAACAAGTTCCCACCCACAAGTTGGCAAGATGATTGATGTTTTGTCTTTCCTACTATGATGGGCATAAGATTCCATGGTTCTTCTTGGTAAGTAAGGAAAGATCTAGATGAGATTCTCTTAACTAAAAACAGTTAGGTCAAGTTCTTTTATTCATGAGGGTATCAATATCATATCATATCAGAAGGACAAAGGGTTTCATTTCTGTTGGATTTGGCCTTTGGGAGCTGTGCTGTCTAATTTGCTTATGTCTCATCTTTGAGATTTCATTAGAGAGGACAACTGAAACCAATGACTGAAACCAATGACTGTACAGTACAGTGATTTTTGTAGTACAATTTTTTATAGAGTTCAAAAGATTCTCTGGCTGTCTCATTTTTTTACCAAGATCTTAGGGAGAAAGGCTACAAAAAGAAAAGACCCCAAAAAGATTCTTCCTTTGAGTGATGCAATTGGTATACTATTTTTCTATCAGATGGGGTTGTAAGTGTGGTGCTAACTGTTGTGGTTTGTACTTTTGACCTACTACCTTGAAGAAGCAAAGCTAAGTTGAGAATTGGCAATTCCCACTTTGCCATGTTGCAATTCAGGACAATAATGGAGTTTCCCCCCTTCTTTCTGGAGCACTATTATGGGAAAATGGGGGATGGGGAGAGAGCCATCGACATTGACTCTCTTGTTGGGTTGCTCTAGAGGGGAATTAGTTGAGAAATTGGATAAGAAATTGTATTTCAATTTTTTTTAATTTTTTGCTTTTGTTGAAGTGGGAATGAGTCATGCCTTGATCGGCTCAGCACAAAAGCACTGTTATTATAAGCCACTAGAAAGTTGTTTTCTGCTTTTTGGTTATTAGGATTGGTCTTTTTCTTAAGAGGTTGTGGAGTACTCTTCCTTCCACTATAATGGTAGGTCATCTATGTCGTGTTTGTTAAACTATAGCGCATTACTCGGTGGTATCAGTGGAATCTAGAAGTTTTGAAGTGCTATTTTATATATTAGGTTTAGATTTGAAGTGTTAGTTAGTTAATTAGATCTTAATTTAGAGATTGCAATGTACTTTTTCTCCGTCATCGTAGGGTTTTGGTTGTAATTGATAAATTAGTATTATTCCATTGTTAATTTCAACACAATTTATAAAAAAAAAATTACTATTATATTGAACCTTTGGATTTACAAGGATTATCGATGTATTTTTATAACTTTTAGTTGAATTCAAAATTTTGAGAATCTTTTATAGAAAAAGTCAGCATATCTTATTATCGAGTTTGAACCTAGGAATTAGGATCCCCTTTCTTTTGCTTCCCATTTTTGTGTGGTTTTGGTATGTGTGGTGTGGGGTGGAGGAGAGCAATTGGTAAACTGTGGCAGGCAATGCTAATGAGCAAAAGGCAGGAATAAAAGGAGGACTTGTTGGTTCTAGAGAGAGTGGCTGACACACACAAAGATGGAATCAATTCTCTTATCAAAATAAGGAGCATGCAAAAGCCAAATGCATCAACATTATGTAACCAAGTTGTGTTTGTGGCCAATCTGGTCCTCTTTTGGATATGTTTTTGTTTGTTTACAACCAAAATCACAACCAGTAATCACATGATAAGATCACAAGTCGCATACACTTGTTGTTAATTAGGGATATAATCAGGTGTATAAATACAATAATTCACAGTTCATTTTGTCGTTAATTTTTTTCCCCAGTGGAATCACATTTGACCACAACGAACAATTCATCGAGCCTTTGCTTGATCTCATCGTCCTTTCATCCTATCATCAATGGCAGATGGTGTTGAGGAAAATAAGCATTTCCGAGGATGGTCAAAGTGTAGAAATTAGTTCTGGTTTTGTGCAAAGGGGATGTATATATTTTGTTTATTCACACGTATTGTTAATTATTCATGCCGTTTGATGTTTATTCACACGTATTGTTAATTATTCATGCCGTTGTAAAATAAAATTTAAACTTTGAAATATATCAAAATGGATGTCATTGTGTAGATTATGATCAATACAACATATTTGTACAGATTAAATGATAATCCAAATTTAATTCCATAAAATATAGCCAATACGAATTATTAGGGGGGAAAAGTATGAATTTCCATTTACGTGAAAAAACTTACACTCTTAGGTAAATCACCATAGCATTACGTGAATGAATACAAAATGGCGTGAGTGAGCATAAAATGGCGTGAATGAACTGGTCTTAGGTGTTCTGTCACCTAACGTGACAAGAGATCTTTTCTCATCTTTATTTGGAACTAAAGTTGCAGCATCATGACCGTATGGCAAGTTTAGGTGACAGCAAACAGGGGTTGTTGTGCTACTAGAAGCAATGTTATGTGGGTTTAAGAGTTTTGAAAGTGTATGCATGAGACTTTGAATCTTGAGTTCTATAGTTAGTCAACATAAGAATATAGTTTGTGCCACTATCGCATGCAAGGCTAGAGTTGTAGAAATTGAATCCATTGAAAATTTTGTATATCATCATTCTAATGGGCTCATGAATGAGGGCTGAGAATGTATAGGCAACATGAATAACAACCTTCATAATAATCCAATGAATAGTCGTATGATAAGCGTACTCTAAACTTTCCTATCGAATCCAGCTTATTGACATAGTTCTACTCAAGAAATATAAACTTTTCGACAAATATACTCTCTTTCATTAATGTAAGTATGTATTATATTCTATGCAATAACGAACATGTTATTCTCAATTAAGTTCATTATCTCAAATATGCACTCTACGCGGGGACGTTGTTATGAAAGTATTTATCAACCAACTAACTAAGGGCTTGTTTGCTTGGTGGATTTGGTGATGGATTTGGTGAAGGATTTGGATCCATCATTGATTTTGTCCAAAATCCATTGTTTGCTTCATGCATTTAGGGGAAACAAATCCGTGGGTCCCACGAACTTGAAAGTTCCACCTATTTAGGTGGGAATTGATTATGGACTTTGAAGTCCATCATTTTTTACCAACATACCCTTCATATTTGCTTTCTCTTCTTATATCATTAAGGGCAATAAAGGTAAATTACACTTCATACATACAAATTTAATAAACAAAATCCATCAAGAAATCCATCAAACAAACAATGGTGTTTATTAAATCCATAATGAACCTAAAAACCTCATTTATCCATGGTTTTTCAAAACCCAAGTTATACCAAAACCTTCATTTTTCAAATCCACAACGCAAACGAGCCCTAAATTATCTTGAGTAAGTGCTCAAAAGGAATTATATCTTAACTGGTGGTGTAATTAAAGCTCCTTTAGTTTTTTAGTTCTTAAAAATGGATTTCATAATTATTTAAAATAAGTAGTTAAACTTTTAATTTGATAATAGATATAACCCGCTCACTTAAGCTCGCAGTGAGTGGAAAATAACACAGTAAATATATTGTTTGAAAGAATAAACAAAATATAACTGATAAGAGATAACTGCAAAAGTAAGATGAAAAATCACAAAGATATTGTGGAAGAGATTTATAGCAATCGACACTCGTTGGCCAATGAGGCTATGGTATCAGAGGATGATACACATACTTTTGAGCAAAAAAACTGCTCGATTTAGAGACCGACAATTATTAATTAAAAAATTTATGAAACTTTTGCAGCCCAACAAATAAAAAGATAAACTCAAAATTTATCCTAAACTCTCAATTGAGATGGAAAATACAAGAGAAATAGAGAATATGAAAAATCGACGAAGGCATAAAAGAAAGCCGGAGAAAGTAATAACTGGTTTCGCCGGTTAGAATGCCACTTTCATCCTATTTGATAGGAAATGAGAGATTTTTCCCTTATCATCTCATGTTCAACCTCGAGAGTTAGAATAAAAAATCAAATATGAACAAAATATCAGTTTAAGCACATGAAAAGCGGTAAAAGAAAACAAATGAAAGAAGAAAAATAGGTTAACATATGGGCCTAACTATGGTTTTTCTTATAAGAATAGGTGATTACATCTTTTGGGATACTTTTGGAGTTACACTTTTCTTTATATTTGGCAGACAAGAAGGAGAAGAAATGGGAGAATTGAAATGGATAGGTTAGAGCCACTTGCGTTATAGGCCAGCCGGACGTCGAAGAAGAGATTGTCGGGGAACGGAGAAAGCCAGAGAAAAGAACCGTAGGAAGAAATAGGTGTCGTAACTTACAATAAACCTGTGCGTATCCCCTAATACAGATTTGGGCTATTTATTATCTAATAAAAATAATTCAAAGAAGCCAAAACATCAAGGGGTCATTTTTGGATGCAGGTTTTTAATTTGTGGGATTTTGGCTCAAATCACTGGTTCAAAAACCTAGGTTTTTAATTTGTGGGATTTGTGTGGGATTTTAAAATAGCTGATCACCATCAGCTATTTCATAATCCCACAATTGTGGGTTTCTGAAATCTCTAATATTTAAAATCTCTCATCATATAATTGTTTTCCAAACGAGTGATTTAATTAAAATCCTACACTATGTAGGATTGTGCCCAAATCCCACACCCAAAACCTGCATCCAAATGACCCCCAAATTTCTCCCGAGAATACTCGAGTCACCACAGACACTTCCCTCCCTCCCTCTTTGCTTCTTTTATGAGTACATCTACATCTTTCATTTTCCAATGTAGTTTAGAACTTAAAAACTTCCACGTTTTTATGTTACTAAAATGCTTCTACACAAAATCTCCGTTTTTATAACTTATGTAGTTAAAAATTTCACTATAAAACTTAAAAACTTACGATTTTACGCTTCTAAACAACCAAAACATTTCTACACAGAAACTCGCTTTTGACTACATTGTTTCCTTCCATACAAAAGGCACCATTGTAGTCCACATACACGTCCAGCCGAATAACAAAGAACAGTCCATGCAAGAAATTTTCATATGGTGTCTGTTTACCCCATCTTCCCAGCTTGTCTTTGGTGGTAATTGCATGATCAGCCATGAAATCAGGCTAAATCAAGGACAACTCTGGCACCATATTATTTTGTATCATGGTACTCCTGGATATTGAATCCTTACCAAGTTCCATACAGTTTTCACAGAGTACTTCTTCTGGAACAGAATCCCACAACACTTCATCACCCTTTTTGCTGAGTCTTATACCAACAGTTAGCTCTTAATTTAAGAATTCTTCTCCATGCCCATGAACTACTTGACATCACTTTCATTGACCAGAGATCCCCATCACCACACATGTATTCCTTCATCCAGGCTACCCATATTGCTCCAGACTCCCTTAAAAACAACCAGAGCACCCCCACAAGCTCCAGACTCCTCCTTACTTTGGCTCTACCAACTTCATCACCATGCCATAGGAAACTAGAGGAGACTTGATAGATTGCAGTACTTTCTTAGGGAAAAGAAACATTTGCATCCAGTATTGTAATGTATGATCCCCATGAATACAGAGAAAACCAGCTGAAGTCTTCTGCATAGGTGAATTTCTTTGCTCTCCAGGGCTGAATCTTCTTAGTGAGCTTAAACTTCCACTTCTCTATTCGATAACTTGCCAGACAACAGAGGAAGCCCTAAATATCTTAGGGGTAGGCATCCCTCCTGAAAACCAGATTGCTGTGGTGCATTCTGCTTATACTGTACAGACTCCCCACCAAAATAGTTTTCATACTTTAATAGATAAAACTCATCAAGCACCTTGTGCACCTGTTTAATTGCAGAGGCAGAGCCCACTGTACGAACGCAAAATCCTTAAAATTTGAGACTGATAACAAAGAAGATGAAATTATGTACTTGGCTGGCTAGTTTGATCCAACCCACAAGTTTTACCCACCAACACAAATGTTGGTCTGGTACTCTGGTTAGACTTGGTTCAGTGTGGACCCAAACCATTGTCCATCCTTGCGATTTTGCTCCATTCGAATGGAATTAAATTGTGAAACTTAAAAGCAGGTTAAAATTGCAGAAAGAAGTAGAGCACCTCTATTTCTCAAATCTTCCCTCGTTCCTATTAAAAAGAAGAAGGCACATTCTGACTCTCATCCGACTGATCTTTAAATCCCTCAAAGTAAACTAAGCTTAGAAGTACTGCTGTCTCCTTCAAGCACATCCACAAAAATCAAAATGGAAAGCTAAGAAAAATGCGATTCTGATAACCCTCAAATCTTCTCTTGTTTTCCCCTCAATTATTACTCCTCAAGCGTCCGACATGGGAAGCTCACCACACTCGGCAATGACAACCCTCTTCCTGGGACGGTCGCCTCTGTCTGTCTCCTGCGATTCAATGAGCTTGACGATTTCCATTCCCTCCAAAACTTGTCCGAACACGACGTGCCTCTGGTCTAGCCACGGGGTCTGCCAGAAAAAAAAGGATAAAACCAAACTTCTGGTCATTAGGGGGAAAAAAAGCATCAAACTTTTGTATCATGAACACGAGTGGGGAATCTATTATGCTAGTTTTGTACTCAAGCCACTCCTGATGCACAGCCAAGTGATGGATTGGCTGCTGCATGAATGGTAGCTGGACTTCGGGGTTACTAATAAACGAAATCGCTGAACTTTTATTTTAACATAATAGCCGTAAGTGAAGGGTCCTCAGAGCTACAAGCTAGTTAGTTCAATATGGCATTGAAGAAGAATGTAAGAGGGGTTATAGCTCTATACATAAAATTGACTATATGTACCTTGACAGTGCAAATGAAGAACTGACTTCCGTTGGTGTTAGGGCCGGCATTTGCCATGCTAACGATTCCTGGTCCAGTATGGGTCACTGCAAGGAAGATACAGGAGAATTTCATACAACTAGACTCCTACCAGTCCATGATCACATGGCCTTTGTTTTAATTCACAATTGAAAAGAAGTCGCCACTTGATTGAGGCCTAAGCAGATGAAATGATGTATCGTTTATGGCTCCTAAAAAGAACACTTTAGAATCGAACTTACACTTGAAGTTCTCGTCTTTGAAAGTCCGACCATAAATGCTCTTGCCTCCAGTGCCCTGCAATCAATTTGATGAGTCGAGGGAGGTAAATAAGCACATGTGTAGCTACGCATAAACAATGCAAGAACAATCAAATAGCCGGCAGGAAGCAGTGTTCCAAATGATGATTGATTATCAAATAAGAGAACAAAATGCGACAACAAAAAGAGAGAAGACTAGCATACATTTCCTTTGTCGAAATCACCTCCTTGAATCATAAAATCCTTGATGACACGATGGAACGCCGAGTTTTTGAAGCCAAACCCCTTCTCTCCTGAGCAAACCACAACAACAACAACAAATGCAATTGGCAAAACAGACATTTAACGCTCCCACTGGAAAAGCTTCCTAAAGCCAATGGCAGTAATAAGAGGAGTGTCAAACCTGTGCATAGAGCACGGAAGTTCTCAGCAGTCTGAGGGACATCATCGCCATACAATCCGATGACAATCCTCCCAGCAAGCTTCCCAACTGGGTTTCCAATGCTAATATCAAAATACACTTTGTTGGTCACTTTGGCTTGCAAATCTGGGACCTGGGAATAAATCAATGTAAAGCTTTCAAGACATTCCACAATTCAGCTCACTATCAGCTCCTAATTGGAACCCAATACAGCTACAGATTATCCTTTCCATTTTACCTGAGCACTAGCTCGAACTACGGAGCTAAGCGGACGAGCTCCACTCCTCTGGCAAGGGGAAGACGACGACTTGAGAGGGCCGAGAGAAAGAGACCCAGAGAAGGACAAGCTAGAGGAAGAACCATATGCCGACTTCGTTGGAGTCCTGATGCTGGAAATCTTGACCGAGCTGCAACTAGGGCTCCATGGTTTGAGCTGCGAGATGCTAGATAGTGAACCCGCGTTCGACTGCGAAAGACAGAAAAAAAAATAAGAAATCCCGTCATCGTTATACGGAAGAAGAAACGGAATTCGAAAGCTGAGATTGTAAAAAACGGCGCGGCCTTTTACCATAGTTGTGAAAGTGGTCGCCATTGATGAAAAGAGCCGAGCAGTTGAGGCTTCTGAGGGTGAGGGCTGAGCCTGAGAGTGAGTGAAGAGATAGCAGAGTAGGTGATGAATGTTGGAGATGGGGGAAATTGTAGCGATACAAGAGAGGTACGGCAAATGGTGGAAATTACTAGAAAGGGTAGTTGGCAGTGAAGTTAAATGTCAGTTTTGTCCTCAACTCCTCATCATACATCGAAGGGTAAATGACACATTTGGTCACTGAGATTACTAAATCGTGTCATATTTAGTCCATTAAACGCATTCTTCAGTGAAGTAGATGTCATTATTGTTTTCAGCTTCAAGTCTTCTAACTCCAGTGAAGTAGATGTCAAGAACCAGTTGCTCCCAATAACTCGAGTTGTTGGGAGAGGTTCAATCGTGGATCATATACCACAACACTAACACACCCCCTCAAACGAAAACCACTCACAAGGACTTGAAGTTTGCACAGGTCTGAAGACAAGAATACCATGTGCTTAACAAATGGGGGTCACTGGGAATCGAACACAAGACCTCTCGGTCACAGAAGGCTCTGATACCATGTCAAGAGCCAGTTGCTTCCAATAACTCGAGTTGTTGGAAAAGGTTCATTCGTGGATCATATACCACAACACTAACGGTAGAAACCAGAAGCCTTTGAATCTAACAGAATCATATCATACAACAATTTGATTTGATCCGCTCCAACATGGACCAAGTTATTGCCCAACGCACTGCAGTTGATATTCCCAGTTAACAAAAGGAATTGCTATTTGAGAAACGCTTTACAGATTTAGCTCTCTATGTTCACTTGGAACTCTATACATTTCTGTGAGAAACTTTGGGGAATGGGGATCATGTACAGGAAAAAAGAATACATGAACAAAAAAAAAAGGTAAAAAGAACTTCGAAGACTAATCATCTAGGCGTTGGATTTCACCCATCATGATACGGTTGCTTGTGACTTTAAAACCAAGCAGTGCCGGATCTATTTGCCTCCCTTTCTTCCCTTTCCTCTTCCCCCCACCTTTCCCTCCTTGCCCTCCTCCCTCCGTCATCCCTTCCGGCGGAATACTACCTCCTCCACCAACGCCCTGCTGCTGCTGCTGCATTGCTGCCACTTCCGGACCTTTCTTCGCATTACTCTTCAGCATGTCTATGAACGATGGCTCGGATACCTCGCCGCCATCCCCATATGATGAAGTTCGTCGGAACCTCATGTTGTCTTTCTTGACAATATTCTCCGAACCATGGTTTGTCGAGTTGATTCCTGATCAACAAGATCGAGCTTTTTTATCAGTAAGGTTTACGAGGGCTGTGCTTTCATAAAATGCTTCTTAAGATTCGGTTAGATTTCTCCAACTTTCTAAATAACAGCCAAAACAAACACACCAGACAACCAAGACGATTGTTCAAGGATGAAAAACAAATGAGTATACAAGAGCTAGAAAGATTGGAAAGTATACCATCGATGGTGGTTAAGCCGCCTTTCCCACGGAGTGATGATTCGGAGACCAGCTCGGACACCCCCTCATGGGATGAGGATGATCGAGATGAAGGTGGACGTCTCAGCATGACATTTTCTTGCCCCTTTTGTGCTGCACTTAACCTGAACAAAAGCAACATAAGAAACATATCAACCTTATAAACTTTCTTGCGTACCAAACCATGACCCAACGAGCAACTCATAAGGAAGCCTCTAAAAGCACTATTCTGGGCACACACAACGCAAAAGACCAAAGGAGTCCTGAAACAATGGGTCAATGGTATTTCTAGTCCTTGTCTTATGGTATTTTCACAAATAGGAATCCATAATATATTTTCAACAAACATGTTCTTGCACTGTACCGTTTATATGCTTCTATGTCCATCAGATAAAAAGCTCCACCCAGACTAGTAAAAATTACGCTTAACCATATTGTAATCCTTTCACTTGACTCACAGGTCAGCCATGTAGCAAATTTATTTTCTGCCCCTCAAATTGACTCTTAAATCTCTCGTCTCCTATTGTTTGTCAGGACTTAAATTGAGTGAAGATCAACTAACGGGATCAGATTGAGGGCACGAGGATCTTAAGCAAGCAAAACATGTTACTAAGAATGCCATTCACCATAGGACAATCAGCTATAATTCACAAGTTGAAAAGCTTACTGATTCATGTGCATCTCATCGGTAAAGCTTCCTTTTTGTACAACCTTGTCGTCATAAAACCCTGCAATTATCATAATCTCAAATACTAAACTGCCAGTTCCTCGTGATCATCAACGTAAAGAGCAAATGAAGCATACATTAAGACTAATTACCAATTGAAGAGTTTCTGCTAAGCCCAGTAATATGTGCCTCCATACCAGCGCCACCACCGAATCTTGCGTGTTCAGCTATGCCGCCATCTTGAACATCCAAGAATGAAGAACCCCTCATCATACTCCGTTCCGTAAACCCCACTTGGGGAGGAGCCTCATTCAACAAAAACCTCTTTCCTCCAGAATTTATGAACTGGTCTTCGCCCGTCACAAAGTCCCCTGTTTCGCGAGGATTAGAACCGTAGGACCCGATTGGGAACGAGCTGTTCATGGTAGATTCGTGGTTAGGGGTCCCCGCATTGTAAATAAGATCAGAAGTTCTGTCAAAAGATCTTGCGTCATTCATGTGTAGAGCATCTTGATGGCCGGATTTCTGATGAAGCAATTCCATCAGCAGTTGCCTGGATTTGTCCTCATTCATTCCGTTGTCCGACATCCATAAACTTGCACGATCCTCAGCAGCTGCAACCATTTTGGCTTCGGCTTCCTCACGTTTCTTATTGATCTGCAACTGCTGGATTCGAGATTCCATCCACTCGTCAGCAACTCCTGGGCGGTGATGCGGATTCAGAGGATGACCACCCATTGCATTTGTCATTACCGCATCCATATTCATTCCGGAAGCACCTCCGGGAGGCATTGAGATAGACCGCTCAAAGGGCCCACCAGCACCTGTATCGAAAAGACCTTGTCGAAGTCGGTCTTGAAAGGATAGCGTTCGATCAAGGTGATGGTTCAACTGCTGCTCCTCATGGCCTTGCATCTGCTGCTGTCTCTGATAAATATCTAATGGACTTAACCCTGAAGAATGATTAGTTCTTTGATTAGTGGCAAGACTCCTAAGGAACTGTTCATTTTCATTGATTGGCCACATGGATTCGAGGAGCTGTTGCTCTTCTGCCAGCTGTCTTGCCTGAATCTGTTCCTGGCGGAGTAGAAACTGTTGCTCTAAGTTCTGGATTTGCCCATGCTGTGCACGTGATAACAACTCAAATAAATCCCTCTGCTGCTCTTGCTGCATGGATGGGTGAAAATGTCTTGAAGATGGATGGTGGGGACCCCTCTGTTGTTGCATTTCATGCAGAAGTTGCTGCTCCAGGATAACTTGTTCAATAATATTGTTGGCTCTCACAGGATCAGGCACCTGACCATGCAACAGCTGTTCAAGAATCACCTGCCGAGCTTGAGATATCTGTCTCTCCTGTAATTGCTTCTGCTGTTGTTGAAGCTGCAACTGCTGTTGCTGTTGCTGTTGCTGTTGCTGTTGTTGGAGCTGATGTTGACGCTGCTGTTGCATTTGGAGTGCTAAAAGATGCTCGACATCGGGATTAGAATGACCCATCAACTGCTGATGATGATGGTGACCACGATTCTGTGTAGGTCCATGTTGCATCAGTGATTCATTTAAGAGAGCATGAGGAGATAGCATACTCTGCTGCTGCTGAATTTGTCGGGAGATAAGTTGCTCTGCTAGATCAACCTGATTATGCTCTTGCTCAAAATGTGGCAGTCGGCGATTATTAACAATGGAGTCATGGAGCAGATTCGGGCTAGGAAGTGAGTCTTGTCTGTAGGAGTTTGACCATTTCTCGGGTGCTGGGTCACTCAATGCAGCAAATGAGGCGGTTCTCTGCACATCATTTGTTGCTGGAGGCCTAGCATGAGAGCTTTCAAGCTCAGACCAAAACAGGCCAAACGGATGCAATGTGGTTGTATCGTTTTGCTTCGGTAACCCAGGATTCGTGAATTCGTTGGCAAGAGATGGATGACTGTTCGAAACTGTTACTGGAACACGAAGACTCCCGGATGATGGTAAAAGGGGAATGCCAGCACTGCCAGGTCTACCAGGAAACACAATTTCTGGAAGATCAACAGAGCCCATTAGGAGTACAGAAAGACATAAGAAAGAAAGAAAGAAAGAAAGCAAGGCAATTCAGAAAAGATGGACAAACCTTCATCTTGCACACTGAGATCATGAAAGCTTTGCTCATCAGGAGGCGGCTGCTTTGACGAATTATCAGTATCAGAAATCCTTGTGCGAGTAGGCTCTGTCAATGATTGCCCTTCATTTTCCATAGTTGATAAGCTGGCCTCCGAGATTCCATTGGCCATATCGGAAGGTTGCTGCTCCATGAAAGATTGTGAGTATGGTTCTTTGTACTGCAGTTGGGGTAAGACTTCACCTAGATTCTGGAAAGGTGTGCCTTCAACAGCATCTGCTAAGCGAACTGGTAAATCTGTCCCAAAGTAACCCTCTTCAAACCACATGATTATATCTGCTCCAAGAAATGGCCCTTGAGTGTTTCCATGAGGATCTATATAGCAGAAGTACAATTCCTCGAGCGGAATACTTGATTGCTCTCCATTACTCCCCAAGTTCTTCTCGGAAGAAGGTAGGGAAAATAGAGATTTCGGGTCATCCGGCAGAATAGGTTGTCTATCTTCAACAAACTCGTTATGCTGGTGAACATTCACATGGTTCTTTAGTTCAAAACTTGAAGCTGTATTAATCCCATTTTCACCTCTCAAGGTATCTGCCATTAAACTGTCAGCAGCTTCTCTTCCTTCAACTTCTTGACGATTGCCATCTTTATCTGAAAAAACAAAACACCAATTTTTCTTTAGATATGGAGTGTCATAGTGTATTTTTACAAAAGTTAATATATTTAGTCAACACGGTTTCAAGTATTCAACGAGAAATTGACACTAATTGAATAATAAACAAACCTTGCTCTAACAATAGCAGAACATCATTGTTATGGTTTTCATGGCCCAATGCAGAATCTTTAATGAGAAGACAGTTCTGAATATCACATTTCCCCTCAGAAGAATATTCATCAA